CAAAACGTGCATGAATTGAATTGCGCGAATGCGAATGGAGAGCTAATCAGCGAGTGCGAAGGATACGCGCGACCCAATCAGCGCGACTTATGCGCAATAACGGTCACCGCTAGACTTTCGTGCCGCTACTTATACAGTGTTATACTGTGTTGAATTTCTTTTCGTTACTGCAACCCAATTTATGTGTTTATTGTTTTTTTTTTGCTTTGTTTGTTATTTTAATTTCTTGGTACGTTATGTTGTGTGTGACGAATAAATCATTCATTAATTTATGAGGACTAAGATAGAACGGCTCTTTACCAGTTAAAAGGGTATCTGATTCTATATGCTTACTATACGAAAGACAGAAAATTCTGCTATTACTCCTCTTACTAGTATTCTGTGAGAGCGTGGTCCTTTCGCGGTCGAGCAGACCCATTTGAACTGCAACCATGATATGGCTGCAGCATGGCTCTACCACGTTACAGGTATCACCAAATTTATGTGAGAGATTGCCAAAGCTGTATGACCAATGTAGAAATCATTTTATACACATAAACAAATTATAATTACAGTTGTATGAATAACATAATTCACTGTTTCACTTCAGTCAGACGATTGAAAGATCAGCCTTAAAATTAATAAAAATTATCATCATCATCATCAACATTACAGCCCTTCACAAGTGCACTGCTGAACACAGGCCTCCCCCAAAGAATGCCACATCGTCAATCCATCTAGTGTTTTACCAGATCGTCAATCCATCTATTGTAGGGCCACTCAACACTTTGCCTACCAGTACGAGGATGCCACTCAAGAAACTTCCTTTCCCATCGATTGTCGATTCTTCGAGCTAGTTATGTCGGTCACTCTGGTTCTACTGGGGATATCCTCATTTCTAAGTTTATCACGCAGAGAAACCCCAAGCATAGCCCACTCCATAGTTCGCTGAGCGACCTTGAAATTCATCATACGGCCAGTAGTGAAGGACCACGTTTCAGTTCCACAAGTCATCACTAGCAACACGCACTGATTGTACAGTCTCATTTTCAAGTTTTGAGGTATACCTGACGAGTAGATGTGTCGTAATTTCCTGAACGCTGCCCAGCCGAGTTGAATCCGTCGCTTGAACTCTCGGTCGAAGTTGAACTTAGACCTAGACGGACTATTTGTCCCAGGTAAATAAACTCGTCAACAATTTCGAGCTTAGTGCTCCCAAATTATGTATCACTATATTTCACTGTTAGACGTATGAAGAAACTTAAGGCCTGCGCTCACAGACGGCACGGCATGGCATAGCGTGGCATCCCGCGGCATGCCAAACAAGTCAAGATGACGAGTCGCTGAGATTGCCACCGCAACAGGCTAGATTCAACCTTTTTTCAATTACTTAACAGTCACATTCCTTTAACAACATGAAGTAACCTATGCGTTGTTACTTCATGTTGTTAAAGGAATGTGACTATATGTCTATAGACCACAGCATCCACTTAACATCAGGTGGGCTGTATGCTCGTTTTGCACTCTTACTCCATAATAAATATATATTTCGATGCAGAAGAATATAAAATTTTGTATACACCATTTCTATCGATTTTTTTAAATATAATATTCCGACCTAAAATAAATTTCACAACTTAAGTAGTACTGCTTAAGAAATATGACCAGTTCTTAACTGTTTTCTCACTAATTATGTTCAAGTTATAAATTTATCTCGACGAAGGAGATAGAAACGGGCGTAATAAAGTAGTTAGAATAATAGTTGCCGGTACATGTCTTTAGAAAACGGACTCCCAGACCAGGCTATTGTAGGAACTAAAATTTTATTTTATGAAATAGCAAACTTTTTTATTTAAGGTATATGAATCCTCACAACATATTTTTTATGCTTAAGAATATATGACTTAAGTGTTACGTACTCTGGGTTTACTTAAATGAGCGTGTATTAACTGACTAGAATTCTCAACGCGGGCTCGGCAACTTATTATCCGCTTAACTTTTTATTTACTTATTGATTTGAGAACCACAAACAAGTTTACAATATATCTTATGCTAAAGCTTATGTTCTATTACAATTTCTTACTTTTCATAAACTCAACGACGATGGTCATAAAATATAGAATAATTATGTGAGGGACCTAATTTTGTGAAAAAAATTTACAAAATATTATTTTAACATGTATTAGAGGTTAGAGTTTTGTGTGCTTGTGTGTCAGCATGTGTACGCGCGCTCGTCTGTACACACAGACACGAGCGCGCGTACACCTTATCACTGGGGCAAGGTCATGTATTCAGTACGTGACTAATTTACTGAACAATAATACTACAACATATTTTTTAAATATTTTTTATATATCTTTTAAATCAATTATTTTTCGGGTTTTTCGATTAAGAAGTATTTAATAATAACCCTGAGTCAGGATGTTGGCGGTGTTTCACTTTCATTACACGAAAAGAATATAAGCTATTAATCATGCATCGAAACTCTCTCCTAGGGTGTAACGGATGGTACGATACTAAAACGGATCGCTTTTGTGATGACAGTGTATTTTCTGTATGATTATCTGTTACACTAAATCGATGACGGAGAATTTTGATTTTAAGAAGGTGATACTTTTTATTTAAAATAGTCCATAACTTCTCTACAATAACGACACAGACTAAACGCTGTTATCATTTAATAGGGGCTAGGACTTCTTGTCTGTCAGGCCGTCTGGATAGATGTGGATCTACCACTTACCTACGCCACCTAGCAGCAGCTTCTGCGCTGTTGTCTTCCGGTCCAAAGGTTATAAAGGACGAATACAGCTACGGGCTACGAGATAACTCATCATAGTCATCATCATCATAGTCATTTAAGAGGGTTACTGGTAATACCATTAGTTGGAAACTAATCTTGTCAGTCTCAAGCATAAGCGCAAAGTTGCTTCTCAGTATTTTACAGAATATATTCCGGTAAATGTACGCAGAAATTACATTACTTAATTCCTTCCTCCCCCTTCCACCATCGGATAACCAGACGCTCGGCGGGTCTCCACTCCTTTGTTGTCAACATTCCACGCGTTCAAACTAAACGGTTTGCTTCACCTTTCGTAATGAGTAGGTATAGCAAAGGAGTAAAATATTTTACCAGTGTCTCTCTTTCCCTCCGATTATTACGTGTGAAAAATGAATATGCATTTTTAATGCTAATAAAGTGTGATCTACCACTTACCACCAGGAGGGTTTTTTTTATAGGTTAAGGATGATAAACGACCACACTGTCCACCTGATAGTAAGTAGTTGCTGTGGCACATAGACATCTACATCTATCCTCAACTATAAATATGAATGCAGATGTCACCCGTGAGGACTAAGATAGAATATCTCGTTTTCAGTAAAAGGGGTCTCCGGTCCTCTACACTCACCATACGAAACACAGCAGCTTTAAGATGCTATTTTACGCTGGTATTCTGTGAGAGCGTGGTCCTTCCCCGGTCGAGCTGAGCTGCAGCATGGCTCTACCACGTATAAAAATTATTATTCGCAGTAAAACTAAAGTGACCGACATAGCGGTGACGGATTAGTAAGCTGAAGTGGCAATGGGCCGGCCATATAGTTCGAAGAACCGACAAGCGATATATTTTATATATATATATGTGTGTGTGTGTGTATATATATATATATGTGTATATATATATATATATATATATATATGTAGTTTCTTCATTAGTAAAATGTACATATTACGTATGTAGCTAATTATCATTTTCTTTTTGTTTTTATTCTATATTGCTACACCAACGTCAAATTCTCACCACTCCATAGGTGAGAATTTGACATGAGGTAGAGAATGCCTCCAGGCATTAAGTCCGCCCTTTGTATTATTTTCTTGTAAGGAATTCAACAAAAACGAAATAAAAAAATAAGCAAGTAAAGCATACGAACATTGTCTTTTATAATGTATAAAAGAATGTAAAACGGTTTGTGGCTGAAAATGTTTTTATATAATTACATTTTCATGTTACAAATTACAACACATTTAAGGTTTTAAAAACATATCTCACAAAGTATCCAGGCTATCTACGACAAAATAACAAATATATTATGTTTCTGATGAAAGCTGATCGGTTTTAATTCCAGTAATAAATTAAATGATTGCAAAGTTCAACATTCAGGTCATAGTGAATGTCAGTTATATATTCCAAGAACACCGCGCTAAAAGATAGCGTTATTTGTAAAAATTACAAGTTTTTTTCGTGGATTCGGGCACAATCAAATATTTATTTAATGTGATAAACATCGCAATTTAATTGCTATCCGATGTAGGCAGCTAAAATGCGTATTTTTTCAAGAGGTAATTAATGTTTTGAACGACCAGCATGAATAGGTCAGCTCGGCCGGAGACGAACTACACACGCACCATATCAGCGTAAAATAACAGCATCATACTGACTGTGCTTCTTAAGGTGAGTGACGAAAACCTGATTGTTACTTATATAATATGGTTAGGTGATCCACTTACTATCAGATGAATTATGTGCTCGTGTTTAAACTTACTTGTATAAAAATTTAGTGCTGGTGCTACTGTTAACTGCTACTGCTCCTACAGCAGTCGTAAGAGACGATAGACGAAAATAGTAGATGAGAAACAGCATCTTTTACACTGCAACTCAACAATAATAATAAAAACCACGGTTTTTAAACTGCCTGCCAAGTGTGACAGCTCTAATAAGGCAATCTTGGGGGAGGCCTATGTTCAGCAGTGGATTTTTTTAGTTGTTATGAATAATTTCGTATATACTATTATCATGTTCAGTAAGTTAAAAAAAATACAGTCGAACCGATACCCTCCTTCTTTTTTGAAGGCAGTTTATATTTACGACAAACAGACGAGTTGATTTCCATACATATATAGATTTAAAATAATGTTTTGCGTTTATAAATATCTTTTGTTTATAATTCTAGAGTAAGAGTTCTGTCTCTTGATTAACAAAGACAAACTTGCGGGCAGTATTGTTGAAAGAGGACAGAAGTGCAAAATGATTCGATTATTTGCGTTCTTTACTGTATTTGTTTTGGTAAGTGGCGGTGCGAAAAGGTAAAATGTGTTTTTTTTACTTTTATTTTTTACGTTCTGTACCGTTAATAGCAGCAAAATGAAATTAATAAAGTAGGTATTATTATTGATTGTCAACATGAAATTTCAATACTTGTTTATACTTAACTAAATAGCAGTCAGGTATATTTATTAAAGATTTTAAGTTTATTATTATTGTTTGTAATTTATCTAAAGTGTATTTATCAACACGTATAGAAGAAGTATAATTTTAGTTAGTACAAAATAAATTGTAATATATGGTTTTATTAGTCCTTTTGTATTTATGTGATTTTGCATTTGCTTAAATTGCAGGCGACGGACGCTGATGTGCTTACTAAAGAGCGAAGCAGAGGAGCAACTCTTGTAAGTGCAAGTTTAATTAAAAAAAAATATAACGCAACATGAATTCTCACCCCTGTCAACCAGAGGGGTAGGGTAGTTCGTATTCCTTCTTGCATGAGTCAAGCTCGTCTCTTTATCTTCACCTAAGCCTCGTTTTCAGAAATTTTGTTTCATTTGTAGAAAACGCAAGTTAACCCACTGACCTGCTTTTTGTGAACTTCTTTATCGATGTAGTGGAGTAATTTAGTACGGCATGAAAAAAAGAACGTCACGTTTTCTTGCAACGTATTACCGCCGGGACTGCATGAGTATACTATTATTTAGCTTACTTATGTAAAATATAAAATAAAAGACGAATTATATGTCGTAAAGACGTTTCACTTCGTACGTGTGTACACAATTACACGCACATTTTTTTTAATGTTCCACTGAACATCCAATAGTTCTTTTTCGAATGGATATGGGAAGGTGAAGTCAATTTATTACATTTCTATTGATATTCTGTATATTTATACATAGTATGCATTATCGGCAATGATAAATATTTTTCAATGTCGATAACAAATAAGCATATAGTTCACTTTATGGAAAATAGATGCATCGGCTCACAGACACCTAGCTATATCTATTATTCGCCGTACCAATTCTAATTTTAAATATGGCCTACATATAATATTTTTGTTTATTTAATATAAGAGTGAAAAAAAATCTCCATTACCATTCCATCTAATATTAAGTGACCTGCCCATGGACATTTTACAACTGTATGTCTTACAATTGCCTGTAAATTCTTATAATGCATGTATGTATAGGTACTGGCTTATATTTTATTGACAGAAATAACTTAATAAATGGTATCTACCGGAGCGGAGAAATTACATCTTTTCATCTAAGTAACTACGTTATTTTTGATGTGAATCATCTATAGCGGCGAGTCGACCAAATGCTAGCGTGGCGACGCGTCGCCACGGCATGCGCCGTCACGCTATATTATGATAGTATGTATGTATGTAGTATGTGTATGTAGTAGTATGTATGAAGTAGTATGTATTAGACATGTGTCATTCATTAAAAAAAGTTAATACAAAAAAAACAGATATTTATAAAAATCAAGATACTTTACACAATTTTCATTGCATATAATATTTTTAAATCAATTATTAATAAATTTTAATTTCATTCTTATTGAAAATATAGCACTTAAGTAATTGTTTGAAAAATAAATTTAATAAAGACTGACAAAATTATATTTCAAAATCAGCTGAAAGCGTGTGGCGCAAATATGTTATTCCTATTTGTTTTTATTTAAACATTTATTATTGATAGGTGTTCCTTGACGCGAATTTTTAATTTTTGTATTTAATGAATATAAATGTTTATTAAATAAACAGTCATCTTTTTCTTGCAAAATTCTTAATATTTTATTTTTCATTACGCCATATTTATTTCATGTCGCAAACTATCCTTTTATGCATATTACCTGTACAAAATAATTTGGATGATTCACATCTGCCAGGTGTCCTGCAACGGCTCAAAATTTTTTAACGTAATTTATTAATTCACTACAAACAAGATCCTTTCTCATACGATATTATTTTAATGACTGCAACGTAATCAACCTAAGTTGTAAGCCTGTACGTACTAAATCGTGAGTCCAGGAAATAATATTTCTGAAAAAAAAAATGTAAACATACTGGTACCTCACAATTTCTGACAGCTCATTCAGACCTCCCTCAAATCGTAAATCGGAAATCGTAAAAGAAACTATAGAAAATCGAAGGCTAAGAACGAGTAGTTTATTTTATTATTTATTTCCTGTTGGCGGAAAATATCAAATGGTCATTAGCGTCAATGATAATATGTCTAGAAGGACTATGTTACAAAAATTATATGATTAAGGATTGCACAAATAAGCCTATTACAATATTGCAGTATAATAAATACTTAATAGATATGTTAGCTTACAGCGACAGTTATAAAAACATCAATTAGGAAAGAACAAAAAACTTAATTTTTAGATGTTTTTTTTCTTCACTTGACAAACGAGCTCTGAAACTTCTAACGTTTTTGAAAGCGTGTCTGAATAAAATATTTTGTCTTTCGTCGTACCTTGATATTTGTGTTCGTGTCAGTTTTAATGGCACCGAGTGATATAGAAAGTTACAAAATTTAACACACTTTTGTAAATGTGATAGATTTATAACATTTATAAATATATAGAGTTTCTTTACTTCGTGGCATTAAGTCATATAGCTTGTTAGATTATACAAATTGAAAAAGTGTTATTTACTGATTTGAGACTTAAAAAAACAAGTGATTTTTTTTAAACTTTCTACTAAAAAGTTAATATATACCACGTTTTTTGCCATATTTATTTCATATTCCTACATTGTTATGCGATTCTGAGCTATGTTCAAAATTTCAAGTCTCTAGCTCATCGGGAATTCCCGAAATTTGAGTTCCTCAAAGTTAGGACTTAACGCCTATAATCCCCGAGGATGTAGGCAGAGTAGATTTAGTAAAACATAATATTGTAAATTAGTGTTTTTTTTTAAGAAGTGTCAGTGACAGAGGTTTTTTACAAACCATTGTTAAAGCCTTAATGACTTTCAATAAGTATTGCGTACAGTGAAATAGCAGCTTAAAATGCCATAAACATATCTGAAAATGAACCAGACACGCTCTTTACTGGAAACTAGGTATTCCATTTTAGTGTTCGGTGATGACAACGCATCTGCATTTTGATTCTTAATCGAGGATAGATGTAGATACATGTTCATGGGCCACAGCACTCACCATCAGGTGAACTGTGTGCTCCTTTGTCACACTTATTCTATAAAAAAGTCTGGTATAAACGAGATGATAATACCGCCATGTATCGGAAAGCCTTAATATTTTCTGGCTTTCCCATAGTCACCTTTTACGATAGCCACGGGATGAAATAGGGCAAAGCAATTTCTTACGTCTTCACCAAAGGGCTAAGTTTTCTAGGTCTGTGATATACTGGTTACAAGTAAATATGTGTATGTGTGTAACATTACAAGTATCTTCTCTTCTTTTCTTTTTAATGACGGCTACGTGGTGCAGTGGCAATGAGTTGCTGCGCTGGGGGCCGCAGGTTCGAATACCGCACGGAACAATTATTTGTATGGTCTACAAATAATTGTTCCGGGTCTGGATGTTTGTCCCTGTGCAATTTGTGTTTGTAAACTGCCTCCACGGTACAGGAGAAAAACCTAGTGTAGGAGTAACGTTTTTTAAAAAAAAAAGTAAAAAAAAAGAAAAAGAAAAAATTAACTTCTGGATATAGACTCATCTGACATTTGATAAATCAGACGGCTTTGTCGGAAGATTTACCAATACTCAGCAGTACGTGCAAAGAGGAGCTAGTCAGTGTCAAAATCTTTGCACAGTTAATGTTAAACAAGTTTTTAAAACTGTTTCAATTTTTTATTTTTCTGTGATTTCAGAAACCCATATCAGCTTGTTGTGAGATTCCCGAGTTAGGAGATCCAAAACCCTTATCCGAATGCTCCAATCCTAGACCCATGGGCCCGGTAAGTATTTTCCATAATAATAGTGCAAAGTCAAAAATAATGATTTTATTGCATTACATTATAAACATTATTTTTGATTGAAATCATTATTAGATTTATATTAAATTAATACTTATTTGTTTACATTCTCTACTGAACCATAATATAATAAAAATACTAAAAGCCACTATAGTATGTAGTATTGTTGAAATCAATGTCTGCTATTTTATTTTGCCAGGTGTATGTCGTTAGACTTACTCTTAACAGTTTGGTTATGATATAAATATATTTTATAACTATCTGTGCCCGCGGCGTAGCCTAGGTAAGAGAATATTAAACGATTTATATTATTACTGTATCAATAAGTGTAGTAAGTAACAAAATAAATCGTTATCTTTTAAGTTCTAAATCGTTTATGATAGAGCTTCTGTGTAAACGAAACGACGTTAGAAGGCGACTTAGCCGGGGCGTACACAAAAAGGTTACGGGGCTACTAACGCGGGAAAAAGCAACATACCTACTCGTAGAGTTGGCCATGTGCAAAACAATACTAAGGTCCACTCCTGGAACGCGTAAAGTTTGACCTTGCGCTTTATTTACGGTCATCGCATAACATAACAAACGCTAACTGGGAACTGAACACGCTTAAAACTGAAAGGAAAATTATTTGGTATTAGAGGGATTCTGGCTATAAAAACAATATTGCGACATTTTGTTGCAATTTTGATACTTTTAATCGAGTTTCGTTGTATACCTTGGATGGGCGTGTTCCTTCTCTGGTTTCTGGTGATGTTTGTGGTTTTAGCCTACACGGTTCTTTCAACTTCATCGTACTCATGGGCGTAAATTTCTTCAGTGAGTCTCACTACGATTCACCGGCGAAAAATTCAGAACAGACCGCAATTCAGAAAAGGTTGTAATTTGTACAACGCCATCTATTACGTTCTTTATGCGAAAACATCCTTTTTTAATTAAAGGAAATATATTTTTTGTTTACTGTGTTTTAAGTATAAATATATTATAATAGAACGTTTTTTTACACATGAATATTTTTATTAATATTTCTGAGATTTTATGGCGCCTTTAAACAGATTCGAGCCTAGATTTCAAAATAATAGTCATAACTTTCGATAGAATTAACCAATTTTAATAAAACAAAGATAAAATGAACTCGATAATACGCTTTATGATTTTCTTAAGGATATAATTGAAAAAAAAAAAGATGTTTACTCAAAACGTCATGCGTTCATAAACAAACAGACAGCCCGTCAGACAGTACAATTCTAAAAATTATAAAAATGTACTTATTTAATGATTTTCAGTCCCCATAATTATTTTAGTCACAAATTAATATAGTATACAATGTACAGAAACAGTCACAACATTCTATCACCATTTTTATTATATGTATATGTATAGATTTAAAGAGAGATGGCGCTGTTAACATCAATTCTAAAAATAAGAGATTAATTGACGCGATTGACACAATAAAAAACATAAAAGAACTTATAAATCAGTGCCTGCATAGTAAGCAAAAAAGAAAGTTTGATCCTCGCCGAAAAACGAAATTGTTAATAGCTCTTTTAAAATTTGATTTACCACATAGAGTACTCGGCGGTAAAAAATAAATGAGATTGTCAACACGCAGTAGGGCACCGTGTTATATAAAGATTGGAGGCAAATATGAAACTCATCTACAGGAAAAAACCTTAACCTGCCTTTTTGTATCACATTTGTGCCACACCACCATCTATAGATGAAATTGGTTAACTGGTTTAGATGTAGATAATAAGGTTAATATATTTTTGTATACATTTATTACGTTCTTTATGTAATACTTTTGTTTACTGCGTTTTAGATATAATTATATTATTATAGAACATTATTTTACCTCATTTAATTATGATTTGTAATATGATATTAATTTAAAATGTACTTGAAGACTCATCCAACGCCACTATTGAACAAATTCGTACCTATACTTAGTACCCATACTTCAGAATATTTGTCATAACTTTTGATGGAATGAACTGATTTTAATGAAATAAAGACTAAATGTAACCCAAAGATACACTTAATAATTTCCTTAAAGATTCTTATGATATAAATTAGTACTTTATACGTGATACGTTAACAAACAAACAGACAGACAGAAAAATCTAAAAATGGTAGAAATGTATTTAATTACTTATTTTTAGTACCTCTCAATCACTTTTATTACAAAAATGTAAAATGTACAGACATCTGCTATTTACAATACATTTTTATTATATGTATAGATTATACAAACAACGTGAAAAATAAATACAACAAAACAAAAATCTTTGTTTTCTTTCTTAATTAAAGAATATAGGTACACGTGTTTGACAGTTTTACGTCATTGTAGGTATTTTTATTTACTTTATTGTTAAGAAAAAAATTTAACAAAATTAATTAAGTGTTAAGCAAAAATTGCAATTTTAATTCTTATCACATCACAATATAATAAAAAAAACCTATGCATCATTGTACGGGGTATACAGTTTGTTTCATTTAAGTTATATTTGGGAAATCATTCATTTAAAAAATATGAATTAATCATGCAATACAAACAAATAATAATAAATACATCAAGATAATTTACAACGCAAATTATTATGAAATAATTCATTAGCTTTAACCTTTAAATACTGCGTAACATGATACGGTTGTTACTTGTATTATTAAAACTCGTGAAACTATTGGATTTCGTCAAGCTAAACTACTTTTAGGATATTTAATATTGATAACTTTTTTTCTTAATCAAAACAGAGACAGTTCTTAATTAAAAAACTTATACTTTTGCTTTTCTTTTTAACACTGAAATTATGAATGAAATTTGGAATAGATGAAATACCTACATAATTACATCCATTTTAAATTATATATTCTTTTTTATTTAATACTGGCGACCTTTGGTAGTTCAGGGTCTAAGCTCGTAAATAATTTCACAGTACGCAGGTATAAATGCAATTGTTAGTTGCAATTTTATATGTACTGATTTACCACGTGGTCGGTGGTAAAAAGAATCCTGCATGTCTGAGAAATAACAAAAAATATATTTCGAAGACATGTGAAGTTGGTCAACACCCACCCGGCGGATATTTCGTTGCCTGAAAACACTCTCACTGTCCAGCGGTGGGACGTATATACACTGTAACTTTAACTTTAACCAGAGATCTCACTTGGGTATGATCTATTAACGTAGCGATATTTAGATTTGAGACAATCAAGAAAAAAAGTTTTTCGGATAAAATATAAACTCCTGGCAATAATAATAATAATCACAATCAAGATACAAGATGGAGGTAGAGGTTTAATAGATATCCATCACCTATGGCAGGGGCAGATGTACAGCTTGAAAACATTATTTCATACCAAATCGCAAACGAGTGAAATACACAAAGCTATCACTCACAACGACAAAAACTACACACCACTAAACCTTGACGAACAAACAGGCCTAGTAAGCCCAAACAATAGTGATCCGCAGAAAAAGAAAATAGAAAACTGGAAGAAAAAAGTACAACACGGGCGACACTCACACGACATAAGCCAACCCGACATAGAAACAAAAGCGTCAAACATGTGGCTTAAAAAATGTAGCCTGTTCCCAGAAACAGAAGGATTTTAATAGCAATGCAGGACCAGGTAATTAACACAAAAAACTATAGAAAACACATAATCAAATATGCCACTATCACAAACGATAAATGCTGCAAGTGCAACAGCTAACCGGAAACAATACAACACATAACCGGAGCATATACAATCCTCACACAGACAGATTACACTCACAGACATAATCAGCTCGCAACATCATACATCAAAAATTGGCACTTAAACATAAACTTATTCCAAACACAAACACGCCATACTACAAATACACACCACAAACAGTTCTAGAAAATACCTCACATAAACTTTACTACGACCGAGCTATACTAACTGACAAAACCATTCATTACAATAGACCAGATATTATTTTACAAGATAAAAATAACAAAACCACGTACTTAATAGATATTGCAGTAGCCAATAAGCATAACATTCAAAAAACAATAGCTGAGAAAATCGGTAAATATGCTGAGTTAAAAGAAGAAATTGGAAGAATATGGAAGCAAAAAAAGTATATATAGTGCCCATAGTCATCTCAACCACTGGATTTGTCCCAAATAATATGTTCAATAACCTCAAACTTATAGAATTAACAGAAAATACATATATAACCCTACAAAAAGCCGCAATTTTAAATACTTGCAGGATAGTGAGAAAGTTGCTGTAGTTGGAGGAAAATGAAATAGTTTAAAGTCCCACAATCCCTACATCTACAACAAACACACACCACACACTGTAATTTACTTAGCTAAAGGCCCGTAAATACAGTTATTACCAACCTTTTCAAAAAGGTTGAGCAAATTTAAGCTTTTCCTTTAATTATAATAACAGACACCCGATAATAATAAAATGGCGTAGGGAAGTGACGACCCCACTGCCCGCTGACGTAACAGTTAAGTGACAAAACTGCTGCATTAGCGCAGTCAGTCAGTGCCTTGCCAAGAGGTGTGAGTTCCGTACCTCGGCAGAATTGAGGGTGCAAAGGTCCGTCTGTGCTTATGGCCGCACCATGAAACGGTGCCGGGCTTAGGCGTCTCCCGTTAATTGACGCACATACTATTGATGATGGACAAAAAAGAGTGTGCAAAGGGCCGCTGACTGGAGGTGGCCAGGGCGCGTCTGGAGCTGGCGCTGGACGCGACAGCATGCGGGTCGCCAGCCAAGCGCGGAGGGCTGCAAGACCACCTAGTAGCCGCCCGCATCCATCATCCCCAGCAGAGGGCTTGGTGTCGGCTGGGTTTTCTCGAACTCGGCAAGCGGCACCCGCCGCTGGTGGAACACGTCGCATGCGTTGGACGAAAATGTTGAACGCAAACGCATTGCGAGCGTATTTTAGGGTAAAAGGGGAAGAAACTGGAATGTTAGCGTATCGGGCTCGGATGCATCGCTTTTTCGCGGAGCTGGAGCCATCTGTTCAAGTAACAGAGCAAAACCTAGCAGACGGAGTTCAGTACATCCTGCGCTCCAACATATTTGGTGACACCGAACTCGAACGACTACGACGTGAGGCTGTTCTCTCATCGGATGAAAATGCTGCAGCTGGTAATGCGACACCACTGATTGCAGAGGAACCTGCACACCTGAATGCCGCCGTGGATATTCCAGTTGTAGTTGATTCAGACGATGATGAAATAGTCTCCCACAAACTAGAGCAAATGAGGAGCATATTGGAAAAGGCTATTTTGGAAACGCGCAGTACGCCTCTCGAAGATCGACCGCGACTCCCCTGCGTACCCTTAAACAAGCGGAAACGGGCTGTCGTGAGGTCTCTCAACCCAATGCTGGTGACCTATTTGGAAGCCAGCCGGGACCTTTGCGAGACGGACTCAATTCTTTTTGGCGCCGCACTGGCAGTTTGCAGTGTTATTGGCGCCAAACTCCCCACGGTTGGACGCGCTACTAGGCAAAGTAGCGCTATCCCAGCCTGGAGAAGAAGGATTGAGGACCGCATCGCAAAGGCAAGGGCGCTCATCGGCAGACTGATAAGCTTCAGGTCAAGCAATAATAGGCCGAGAATTGTGCGCACCGTCAGGGTGGCGTTTTCTGGGACAAATATCACTATGTCCCAGCCGGATATAACGCAAAAACCAACGGAGCGCATAGATAACCTAAAGCAAATAATCGCTGTTTGGGGGAAGCGGATCCGGCGTTATACCAAGAGGTCAACACGGTTCAACCAGAATTGTCTCTTCCAGAGTGATCAGAAGAGGCTCAATGAATAATTGGAGCGGCCAATGGTACGTGGAATGGGCCCAGGGCCGAATTAGGCCGACACTGTAGAATTCTGGCGTGGCGAGCCCGTAAACCACAGCGAGGGGCCTTGGACGGAAGTTGTGGAGAGTCAGTGTGCGAATGTTAGGCCCATGGACCCCGTCATCATAACGCCGGATGATGTAGCTGAGGCGGTCCGTAGGGCCCCGAACTGGAAAAACCTGGGACTTGACGGACTACATCACTACTGGTTGAAGGGGTTCATAGTGTGTCACGCTGTGCTCGCCCGACAGTTTCGAAGGACTCTCGACCAAAAGTCACTCCCGAGCCTCTTCACTACTGGTATTACTCATTTGGTTCCTAAAGACCGGGATTCCACAGACCCGAGCAAATACCGCCCCTTTAAGTGTCTACCTACCATATATAAGACACTAACATCAACTTTGAGCGCGAGAATCACTCGTCATCTGAACTCAAATCAGCTGATGTCGCGCGCTCAGAATGGATGTCGGGGCGGTGGTCGTGGAACCAAGGAACCACTCCTCATTGACGCGGTCATTGGCAAAGTGGTTAAATGCATCTGTCGGAACCTCTGCGCCGCCTGGATAGACTACAAAAAGGCATTTGACTAGGTGCCTCATACATGGCTTAAGAGGGTCCTCGAGCTGTACAAGGTTGACTGTATAGTCCGAGATTTCCTCGGGCAGTGTATAGGGCAGTGGAGTACAATCCTTTGTCATCTAGGCCAGCGGATGAAGACTGCGGAGAACCACATAAGGATAAGAAGGGGCATCTTCTAGGGCGATTTTTTGAGTCCCATCTGGTTCTGCCTCTCTCTGAACCCTGAACTCCTTACTGGAGGGTTCCGGAAGGGGATTTCAGGTTCGGAAAGGAGATACAAAAGTGACCCAGCTTTTCTATATGGATGATCTCAAGTTATTCGCCTCCAGTCGCTCTCATCTTATGGAACTGCTAAACATCACTTGTGATTTTAGCAGTTCTATTAGAATGGAGTTGGGGACGGATAAGTGTACGGTCCTCCATGTCGAAAGGGGTAGGGTTGCTAACTCTAAGGGCACAGACTTATCTATGCCCATCAACATAAAGACCCTATCTATGGCTGAAACATACCGATACCTGGGTATGTCACAGAACATAGGTTTAAATGAGGCAGACATGGAATAGTCAGTTTGCGATGTGTTTTATGCACGCTTGACAAAAGTGCTCAACAGTCTTTTGTCGGACGTTAATAAGACACGAGGTCACCGGCATGTGGGGTGGACTTCCGACCGAAATTATACCTGTAGTCGTTTCTGCGAACGGGTTAATCCCAGTCAGCCTCTCGGGTCATCTGAGGCGACTGGGACTCCGTGACGGATCGCTCCAAACTCAAATGCAGAAGGCGGTGCTCCTCGATACCGCCCGCATCGTCCGCCGGTTTCTTTCCCTTTCCCCCTAACCCTCGGCCGTTTGGTCTCCCCTGCCGAGGGTTTCCATCTGGTTGGGTTTTATTTATTTATGTATTATTTTATGATTTTATTGACATTTATGGAGGTTTATCAATTTCATTTACAATTATATATTTATACAGTCCAACCAGATGAGAAAACTATACAAATACCCCACATAATAATACGAGTAAGTATACTCCATTGTATTCATTTTATTATTGATTGTTTTGCAGTGTAACGACGTTCAGTGTATATTTGAGAAGTCAGGATTCCTCACAGATAAAAATACTTTGAACAAAGAAGCGTATAAGAAACACCTCCAGCGATGGTTAGAAGAGCATAAAGGCTGGACCGCAGCAGTTGAAAAGGCGATCACCGACTGTGTGGACAGAGATTTGAGGCAGTATCTTGATTATCCCTGCAAGGCATATGATGTGTTCACTTGCACTGGAATTGCAATGTTAAAGGTATTATTATATTTAACAACCATGACATATTAATGAAATACGAGTATACAAATTGTTGTGGTAGCTCATGAATAAAGCATTCGACTTAAAAGTCGGTCATCGATAATAATGTATCCATTTTCACTACATTGGAGTTGTTAATTGCAATTTTATGATGACTATAAATGCATATCCCTATTTAATTATGAAATATCACATACAGAGAAACCGTAATAAAATGTATTTACAAAAAATAATTTCTGATATTTTCGAAAATATGCGATCGAGGTCGAGGTCGAGGGACGAGCTTAAAGTAGTGGTTGTTATTTTACCGTCTTTGAAAAAATTAAGTTTCAAAAAATTTAAAAATTCAAAGTACGTCCTATAAAGGACCTACTGCTGAGTATAGACCTATCATTTCTGAGAGGCTCATGGCGCGGGATTAGTCCACTGCCACGCTGTCCAAGTACTTCAACTTTCACTGTTGAGTACGTGATCAATGTGTGAAATTGCAAAAAGCAATTTCTTTATTTATTTAAATCTTTAGCAATATTCATTTGTAAATGGGTGAAGAACCGAAGACCCTTTATTATTAGAAAAGACTGAGCCGAACTGGCTGAGTTGCCTCATAATACAGCAAGGCAACGCAGCCAGTCTTTTAGGCACACTACCCACATACGGCGCCGATTTAGCAAGTATTTTTTACTGAAATCAATCTTTACATACCGTATAATTTTGTATAACACTTTTTTCTTTAATTTATCAATTAATTTTAGTTAAGTAGAAGTATTTATGTTTTATTTTCTTTTGTTCGGGTTGCATTTTATGTAATTTCGTTATTAATGGCTGGAATCGAACTCAAGAGTTTAGGGTACTAAATTTGTTTAGTATTTACCCCATAAGCTACCACGGCTCTTTTTCTAGCAGTGAGGTAAAAAAAAATACTCTAGTTTTTGACCGATTTCCTTATTCAGTCCTATTGTTTCAAGGAAGTTGGTAGATGAAACCTAACTTACTTATATGTATAAGCATACGTATTAATATCCTTGGCATATGAAAACGGCGTCACAGTTAAACGCCCACGCTACAAGTTTCACAGTTTCAAGATAAAGGCATTAATTAAAATTCTTCCTTTATTTAAAGTATTTTATTCAAACAATAATATTATTTTAATAACGTTGTTTTTTAATCATATACTTGGCGATGGAGGAAAAATATCTAAAATGTGTATATGTGGGAAACATAATATTTGGAGGTCGTGTAATGTACGCAATACGCGCTGGACCAGCACAGTGGACTAACTGCTCAAAATATGAGAGAAGGTTTGTGGCAAACACTTGAAAGGAAATAGGTTTAACTTCAGTTAAAGTCAGGGTTGACCAGCTGTGGTCGTTGGCAATGGTACGGAATGTCGTTGGCATTAAATTGGCGACAGTCAGTTATCAGTCGAAAATAATAAAGAATCAATTAACAAATATATTTATAAGCGACTATCTTGAACGATTCCAAAGAAACCAATATCTGACTTCGCCCGTAGATTTTTAGAATTATCTTCCGGTACTGCGAACGTTCTCGAGTGTCAGCCTCGTACCGATAGGCGAAGTGTAGGGCGGCCTCTCACTGTGAAGACTTGGTAAAACATGCAAGAAGTCGATGGATACACGTGGCTCAGAATCGTGATTTGTGGAGTTCCTAGGGGAAGACCTATGTTCAGCAGTGGACTTTTGAAGGGCTCTAATGATGATGATGATTGCGAACGTCAATCCGCCTGCCAAAGACCTCACAGAATACCGGCGTGAAGTAGAAGCTCTGCTTCTGCCTTTCGTCTGGTGAGAGCACCCCTGGAGAATCCCTCGCTTAGCATCCACGACCATGTTATTCCACTCCTGAGCGTGGGTGCTCAGGCTGCCCCGCGTATTCTGTGGGGAAGGGGGGGGGGGGCAAAATTCCGCTCAAAAACATAACTGCTCGGGGCAAACTGAGCAACAAGACCAAGGCGACCCCTGCCACGCTATCCGTGAATTTCTGCAACATCAGGGGACTTCACTCGAACCTAAACGCCGTCCACTACCATCTCGAGACGGCGAAGCCGGCCTTGCTCTTTCTGACCGAGACGCAGGTTTCCTCTCCGGCTGATATTTCGTATCTCTCCTAACAGGGGTACAAATTGGAGCACTCCTTTGTGCCTCGGGCTGGAGTTTGCGTGTATGTCAGAGAGGACATCTGTTCTCGACGCCTCGGCAGTCTTGAAGGTTCGGACCTGTCCATACTATGGCTACGCGTAGACAGCGACGACCATCCGCGCGTCTACGGGTGCCTCTATAGGTCCCATAGCGGTAATGCCGAAACAGACCGACTCATTGACCACGTCCAAATGGCTACAGATTCTTTGCTACAAAAGGTCCCATCCGCAGAGATCGTGATCCTTGGCGATTTTGACGCCCACCACGCCGAATGGCTCGGTTCACGTTTAACCGATCATGCGGGGAGATCTGTTTATGACTTTGCTTTGGCATATGGTCTGACACAACTGCTTACTTCGCCTACGCGGATTCTAGATGTGGAGGATCATACACCTTCCCTGTTGGACCTTCTGGTGACCTCTCATCCGGACGGAAATCAGGTTTCCGTCGATGCTCCTCTCGGCTCTTCGGACCATTGTCTGATTCGGAGTGTGGTGCCACTCACGCTCCCCTCGCGGTTGCGTTCTGCAGGTTGCCGCCGTGTTTGGCATAATAAGTCGGCGGATTGGGACGGAATGCGGTCTTTCTTTGCATCCTACCCATGGGGGCGGGTTTGCTTCTCGCCGGATGATCCCTGCACTGTTGCTGACTTTGTCACTGATGTGGTGCTACAGGGAATGGAACTATTTATTCCATCATCTGTGGTACCCATCGGAGGCAAATCTCAGCCTTGGTTTGGTCGCTCCTGTAAGACTGCATTACGCAGTAAGCAGGAGTGTTATCAAGCCTGGGCTGCGGCTTCGGCAACTTGGGATGTAAACACCAGCACACTTCAAAAGAAGTATAACTTCGCCTCCAGGTCCTTCAAAAGAGTTATTGCCAAGGCAAAGTCAGAGCACATAGACAGGATTGGCGAGAAACTAGTTCGCCTTCCTTCGGGAACCCGTGCATTCTGGTCTCTCGTCAAGGCTGTCCAAGGCAATTTCTGTAAGCCATCACTACCATCTCAGCACAGGGAGGACGATTCACTGGCCCAAGACGCAAAAGACAAAGCCGACCTTTTAGGCTCTCTTTTTGCGTCCAACTCGACTCTTGATGACGCGGGGAAAACACCGCCGACCATCCCGCGGTGTGAGTGCTCCATGCCGGATGTACTGTTCTCACAGCGCTCGGTTCGCAAAGCACTTCTCTCCCTGGACATCCAGAAGTCGAGTGGGCCTGACGGAATCCCCCCAATTGCGCTGAGGACGTATGCTCCGGAGTTGGCACCGGTCCTAACGCGTCTTTTCCGGTACTCCTACTCCCAAGGCGTAGTCCCGAATTCATGGAAGACAGCTTTTGTCCACCCGATCCCTAAAAAAGGTGACCGCTCAGATCCTTCCAACTATAGGCCTATCGCGATCACCTCCTTGTTCTCCAAAATAATGGAATCAATTATTAACTGCCAGCTCATGCGGTACCTTGAGGATCACCAGCTGATTAGTGACCGCCAATACGGTTTTCGTCGGGGTCGATCAGCTGGTGATCTTCCGGCTACCGGACCCATAGAGGCAGTAGAGTCCAAGGGGGAGGCGTTGGCCATTAGTTTGGACATTGCGAAGGCCTTCGATCGGGTTTGGCACAAAGCGCTTCTTTCGAAGCTCCCTTCCTATGGGCTACCCGAGAAATTGTGCGATGGGATCACCAGCTTCCTTGCAGATCAGAGCATCAACGTCGTTGTAGACGGTGCATGCTCCGACTACAAGCCTATTAACGCTGGTGTTCCACAAGGCTGTGTGCTATCACCAACGCAGTTTCTTCTGCATATCAATGATATGTTGCTAACTAGTAACATTCATTGCTAAGCGGATGACAACACTGGTGATGCTCTATACACCGGCCGTGCCAATATTTCTCGGGAAAACGTCGCCGAGTACCGGAACAAACTTGTGTCTAAAGTCGAGTCTTTGCTGAACAAAGTCTCGGATTGGGGGCGACTAAATCTAGTCCAGTTTAATCCTCAGAAGACACAAGTTTACGCGTTTACCGCTAAAAAGAACCCCTTTGTCGTATCTCCTCAGTTTCAAGGCACTCCCCTTCTTGTCTCAGCCAGTATCGGAATCCTCGGATTCGACATATCGAGTGACGTGCAGTTTCGTGGTCACTTGGAAGAGAAGGCCAAATTGGCCTCTAAAAAGCTTGGCATGCTCAGCAGAGCGGGACAGTATTTCATGCCGGCACACCGCCTGCAACTTTACAAGGCGTAGGTTCGGCCTCACATGGAAACTGTTCCCATCTCTGGGCAGGGGCTCCCCAGTGCCAGCTCCTTCCACTTGACCGCATCCAGCGCAGAGGGGCTCGAATCGTCGACGACCGAGTCCTTTCCGATCGGCTCGATTCATTGGCACTGCGAAGAAATGTTGCATCCCTTTGCATTTTCTTTCGCATCTACCACGGCGAGTGCTCTGAGGAATTGTTCGGATTAATCCCAGCCGCCAAATTTCACGAACGCACATCGCGGCAGAACTCCCGATACCATCCACACCATCTGGATAATTGGCGGTCCACCACTGTGTGATTTAGAAGATGTTTTCTTCCTCGCACGATTTCCTTGTGGAATCGATTACCATCAGCGATTTTTCCGGACCGATACGACTTAGGGATCTTCAAGAAAAGAGCGTACTTCTTTTAAAAGGCCGGCAACGCATCTGCGATTCCCTCCCTGGTGTTGCAGCTGTTCATGGGCGGCGGTAGTCACTTACCATCAGGTGAGCCGCATGCTCATTTGCCCCCTCTCCTATAAAAAAAAGCAAAGCCTTCTTGTAACCTGGAATTTATTAAAATTAATTGATTTAACGCGATAAAATCCGCCAAAAACTAGTTTTATTTGATAGATAAACATGCTTCAATTTTTAATCAAATTTGATTAAGATTAAGCTTGGTTTTAACAAGTTAGTGATTTTTATTTTCAGAAATGCCCAAAAGATTATTGGAAATGCTGACCGAAAATGTTTGACGGTAATCTTGAGGAAAATAATTAAATTTAAAAATACAATAAAAGGTATACGGACAAAAGGTGTTGTTTTATTAAAATCTCTTTTTAATTTACGCTGGTATTATGTGAAACCGACCCATTCATGTTGCAGCTATAATACAGTTGCAGTTAGATATAAATAGCCATTGACTGCATTAGCCCTTACGATTATGTAAGATATTAACTAATTTGTTACTTTCTTTATAGATAAAACAAACTGTTTCACAATCATTTAAATTTGCAGTCTTTCCGTATTTCGTAAAACGATAATTGCTTTATTGTGTCCGAAGCACTTTTATAATTAAAACAGTAAAGAAGGCCAATAACAACGTCCTTTTTCTATTTAAAGATACAATCCAACACCAAGGTACACGGAAGCACCCATTTAGTATTATAATTACGTATAGCTGAATTGAGATTTAAATGAGATTACGAGTAATCGATTCTTCATTAAAGAAGACAATAGTTTTTGGGCCCACTAGAAATTTTAATGAATATTAATGGAATTGCACAAAAAAAAGATACCAATTTATTGGTATATAAATGTATATAAATGGCCTAAACATTTTATGAAAATCTAAACGGAATTAAGAAAACTGAAAAAAATGAGTTGTTTTAATATTAGATATAAAATGTTCGTGTTCTGGTTAGTATTATGGGAAAAAAGGCTTGTAATGTGTAATTATTAATTATTTTTGCAGTTTCTATAAAAAGAAAAATATTTCTTTACAAAGATATCTTATTAAATAATAAGAAAGATATGCGTGTCGTGGGATATCGAAATACCGGTTGAAATGAAGTTCCTTTCATAGTATATTATTATTAATAAACGTATTATAATATTGATTAACAAATACAAATAAATGAATTACTAACGTCTATTAAAATGAAGCGTCATTTAAAATAAAATATTATCTCTTTCATGGCAAGATAATAAAAAGTGCGCGGGAGATGGATATTATTCCATCTCGCGCCCTTATAGCCGCCAAGACCGTCTACACTAAATCAGAAGGGGTCGTGATGGAAAAATCTTACACTTTTTCTCGCCTAGCCCTCTTTCGCCAAATTCCTTCGTTCCAATAGGTAGGGGAAGAAGTTGTTTTGTATTTTGTTAGTAACAAATTAAAGAAAAATCTCTTTGGTCGTACTGTTTGTATCAGGCTATTTATAACATCAATATATACAGGATATTAAGGAAAAGAAAAATATAAAATACTTTTACCGCCAAACTGAGTGAATCTAACGAAGTAAATCAGTACATTCTGAAGTTTTATTACAAAAAAAAGGGAAATGCGACTCACGCCGCGAAAATCTTAGTGACTTTTATGGGCCTAATGCAGTGTCAACAAGAGTAGCACAAACTTTGTTGGACTGCTTGGACGCTTGAAGCATTTTCAGTCCGGGAATCAAAGATGCAGCTGGCTCTGGTTGCCCCCATATGGATAAAGTCGATGCCATTTTTGAAAAAATCGAGCAAGATCGGTAAATTAGTTGTTTTATACGTGATAAAGCCATGCTGCAGCTATATTAATAGTATAGTTGTAGCACGAATGGGTCGGCTCGACCGGGGAAGGACCACGCTCTCACAGAATACCAGCGTAAAATAGCAGCTTAACACCGCTGTGTTTCGTATGGTGAGTGTAGAGAACGGGAGACCCATTTTACTGGAAAAGAGGCATTCCATCTTAGTCCTCACGGGTGACAACGCATCTGCATTTTCATTCTTTATTGAGGATAGATGTATATGTCTATGGGCCACAGTATCCACTTACTCACAGTTGGATTGTGTGCTCGTTTGTGACCCTATGCTATAAAAAACATAAATAACCAGTTTTAAAATATTTGTCAGTCTGTATTTATGTCTGTCGTCTAGGCTAATCTGTACAATAGCTAAAACGATTTTAATAAAACTTCACGATCAGATAGAGAGCAATGCAAGGAGTGATCTAGGCTATATTTTAACCTCAAAACTTGGAGATTGTATACGTGGTAGAGCCTTGCTGCAGTTGTATTGGTAGTATAGTTGTAGCCCGAATGGGTGGCTCGACCGGGGAAGGACAACGCTCCCACAGAATACCAGCGTCAAATGACAGCGTGAGACTGCTGTGTTTCGTATGGTGAGTGTAGAGAACCGGAGACCCTTTTTACTGGAAAGTAGACATTGACTTTCCGTCCATTCATGTTTCCTACACATCAACTGTACTTGGCATGTATTGTACTAACTGTCCGTCAGTTGTTTATCCTGAAAATCATATTAAAACAGCATACCGAACTTCCATTTAACTTAAAATCCATAGACAGGAGAAGAATGGACTTAGTTTGTGTAAACCCTCAAACCAAACACGCATTTGTGAACAAATTTTACATATTTTTAGGACCCTTTCTATATAACAAGCTCAACAAGTCACTAAAGGTATATAGTCTAAGTTATAAGGACTGTAATATAAGTGTAAGGGAATTGTAAAATGTAATAAATTAAATTACGAAGACACAGAGAAGTTGTTAGATATACTAAAATAGTTTGTATTAATTGTAGACAATAAATAATTGTTATTTAGTTATTTTATTTATTATACAATTTAGTTTAATTATTTAAATATCTAGTGTCCTACATTATTAAACCGATTGTATAAGTGATGTCTGAAACACAGGTACTCAACCTAGTTCAGGCAGGTAGCTAATATTATAAATATGAATTTTCTATCTTCTTTTGTAGATTCTACATTATTAAGCTACACATAGTTTTAATTTTATCATAGCATGTTATTTTTGTTAGACTTATTGTTACTTTATTAATTGTAATCATTTTGTTTCCTGTATGTCAACATGTGTAATTCGAAATGAAATAAATATTTATTATTATTATTATTATATTCCATCTTAGTCCTAACGGGTAACGACGCTTCTGCATTTTGATTCTTTATTGAGGCTAAATGTAGATGTCTATGGATCACAGCAATCAGTTACCATCAGGTGGACTGTGTGCTTTGTTACCTTAATTCTATAAAAAAAATAGGTAAAATAATTGGTCATTGATAATTATTTAAAAAAAATATAAATCTATACAAATAATTATAATTGAAGTATCCATTTGTAATGTCATAATATCAACATTTTACTAAATATGAAAGTATATAATGAGCTAATAACAAAAAAACAATTTTTGAAATGTTTGTCTGTCTGTCTATCTGTCTATTCGTTCCGGCTAATATCCGAAACGGCTGGACAGATTTTGACGAGATTTTCACTTGCAGATAGCTGATGTTATAAGGATTAGCTTAGGCAAGTTTTATTTTAGAAAACTAATTGTATTGCCGCGAAAAAAAAAGCTCATGAAATCCAATCGTAATAGATGTCACCCGGGTGAAACCCCAAACGGTGGTGGTAATATTTTAATAAATTCGGTGTAGGAGTTATGTTAGAGAATCCACTATCCCATATCATCCTGTAAGTATTGTAAGAGGTTACTGAGAAAAGTGAAATAGGCAGCAGCGTCGTCCCAATAACAACTATAAGTAATAAACCTGTGGTTACTAACCTACCTACGTGGCAATTATTTTTCCTGTGAGGCAGTCCATGAAAAACTACATTTTCATATAAATGTAGTGTATAGTTTAATGTAGTGCTACCAACCCCTGAGGACTAAGATCGAATGTCTCGTTTCCAGTAAAAAGGGTCTCCGGTTCTCTACACTCACCATATGAAACACAACAATATTAAGCAGCTATTATATGCTGATATTCTGTAAGAGCGTGGTCCCACCCCGGTCGAGTCGACCCATTCGTGCTACAACCGTAATATAGCTGCAACGTCGCTCTACCACGTACACAACTTAAAAAAACGTATGCGTGATTTTTCTGTCATTATAATAGAACAATTGTTTACTAAAACATAAGTGCTAATGTGTCTATAGTGATTATTAAATTACATTCACCGTGCGTGGTTAAGCACAGTTCATTGTCCTCGCGCAATAATACGTCGGCATAATGCCCAAGGTCTTAACAGTACTTGTCTCTGATTCGCACGCCGTCATGATGACGCCTTGAGGACATCCGATTCACTACTATGGCTATTGTACAAGTACTTTCAAGTAAGACGTAAGTACATAGAATCAGACGCTACTTTGCGCAAATACATAAAATTAAAGATAAAAAATATTAACTATGATTCACATGCAAATTTAGAAGATACAGGCTTTTCAACAGTGGTAGAGCCACGCGGCAGCTTTTGCTGTCGCACGGATGGGCCGGCTCGAACCGGGGTGGTACCACAACCTCACAGAATATCAGCGTGAAGTAGAGGTTTACCTCTGTGTTTCGCTTGGTGAGTGCAGGTGGCCGGAGGCCCTTTTTACTGGAAATGAGGCATTCTATCTTAGTCCTCACGGGTGACAACGCATTTGCATTTTTATTTGGAATAGAGGATAGATGTAGATGTCTATGGGCCGCAGCTACCACTTACCATCAGGTGGACTGTGTGCTCGTTTGTCACCCTTATCATATATTAAAAAAAAACAGGCTTAATACGTGTCTTGCTGAGCACAGAGCCGCACTCATATCCAATAGGGTTATGGAGCCACTTCAGTTCACTGGGCTGCTCCAGGCTGCTTGTTGGCGGAAATATTTTATTTCTCAGGGTTGCAGGTTTCCTTACGATATTTTACTTCACCGCCAAGAACGTGGTAAATCACCAATCAAAATTTCAGTTAAAAATTTCATTGGTGTCGGCGGGGATGAAACTTGGAATATTCGCTTCAAGAGGTAAAGTCTACCTTGATAAATTGGTATAACATAAAGTAAATTGGTATGGATAGTTTGAAGAAGGAGGTTTTCTTTTTGTGCTTGTACAGTTGTCTACTTCGACTGGAATACGAATCCAGAATCAGCTTTTCTGTTTATTATTTAACGGGTACTTTACATAATGATTTTTATATTTACGCGTTTTAGTTTCACTTCTCGTTCTTGACAT